GGGCAATCAAGCAATGGTGTTGACTTCCATCGTACAAGAGTCGTGGAGTCTTGGGTAACTTGTAGAAGGCTGACCCCTGCTCCCCCTGCTCTAGTCTTCTTATGAGCAGAGCCGTCGACCTGAACTAGGCATCCCCTCCACTGGGCTGCTTCTCCTATGAGCAGCACCGCATTTTCGGGGACGTCCACCATAGCGCAAAGTTTGAGGTGAGTGGCCCGCAGTGGCAGGTATATGGGAGTAGGGTCGCCGTAGCAGACGGAAATGGTAACCTGGCATATTGCATGAGCAGCAAGCGCAACCTTGCATCTGCAGTAGCAAAGGTGGCTATCGTTTCATCTTTATGAAAGGCCTTGGTGGTACAGAGACCCTTGTCGGGGAGTAGGGCGGATTCCAGCTGTGTTTGAGGGAATCGTTGGACACGTATGAACGAGGTAGAAGTACAATGGAGATCAGCCTGAGTCGGCGGTGCTCTAAACCAGGCAAGCTGGGTGGCTGGGAGCGATTGGTACGTACGTTGCCACAAGTCCAAGGCGTGTGCAGGGATAGGTTTCACCTTGACACATGTAATGTGTCAAGCGAAAATTGCAAACGGCTAACCTTGGTCGATCTGTCTAGTACGGAGACAATTGCCATATGGGGCTCTACCTTCTCGCAGTGTGTGAACCTGGTGCACATCTGGTTCCCAACCAAGCTGAGGCGCATTGGCAAAGAAGCCTTTATGTCTTGTGCCTCTCTCCAAGAAGTGTACACCCCACCTGCCCTGCAATATATAGCCCACCGGGCTTTCTTTGACTGTGAGCAACTCACTCAGCTCATCAAGATGGACGACAAAACCACTTGGCGAGGGCCGTATGCAGAAAGCAACACATTTGAACATGCTCCCACCCGGACGGAGATGACAGTGATGCCCTTAAATGCTTTTAATGAGGAATTGCATAAAGGCACTAACGGCCGACTCCCAGGCGGACACCTCAGTGTCAGTCCTGCTAATAGAGCTATACCATGCCGCCTTCACAAACAAAACACAAGAAACACCAGTGTAGCGAGGCAGGTTAGTTAGCTAGATCCCAGGCGGGCACCTCAGTGTCTGTCCTGGATGAGTACAGTGTATACAGTCTTTTTTCGGTGACATAGGCGTAGTGCGTTTTCTGTTTCACCCTGTTTCACTGTAGAGTTGGGGCCTTGCATGCTTCACACAAACCATTCGAAAGCTTCAGATGCACGCTTGCCTTTCTGTGCTCCCTCTTTGCAAAGCTGTTTGGGCAGCACCGTCGCAAGGTGGCTGTGTTGACTGTTCCTCCCCCCACTGGGGGGGAGTGACCTCAGTCTGAAAGCCTGAATGCCTGAAAGCTTTTGCCCATGTCCGCTGTTCGTTGCGCAACATTCAGCAACAACTGTTCGCTAGTCAACAGGCAACACTGCTGGCCTTTCATCCGATTGTTTGGAGCAACAGGATGCTACCGCAGTGGTTTTCCCTTCTATGCCTGTCCGCAGTCCCACACACTTACAGGGACTCGGCAACATGGTCATGCATGGCTCTCGCCAGCCTCCAAGGAAAGCTAACAGTATTTACAGCTCAACTTGGAAAAAAGGCCTAGTGCCTAGCGCTGCCTCAAAAGCGCTGCGGCATCATAACACAATGCAAGACTGGCTTTCGACAGATTACTACCCTGATGTACTGAGAGGCCTTTTGCTAATTCGCTGCCCCAGTTTCACTCTTCATCTCTTGTCTCACCTTCGCATGACCAATACGAGTTGCTTGATGCCAGGAAGTTTGCCTGTTCTTTGGTGGGGTTTGTTTTGTTGGGTTTTTGTTTGTTTTGTTTGTGTTGGTTGGGTTGGTGTTTGTTTTTTCTGTTCGGTTGTCTGTTTTCATTCTTCCTGGCATGTAACTCTCTTATACGTAGCACTACTAGCTTCACCACAGACACGTTTTACACGGCGCCCATGTCCACCATCCGTGTAATTCATGCGCTTTAATAAGTTTGCATTTGCGTGGGTCTCGGGCAGCACTTGACCGGCAAGTGGCAACGCATTTTGCTCGCGCTCCCTAGTCTGTGCTTGCTTTTGTGCTGGCGTTCTTGGTTGGTTGGCGAGGCAGGAACACCAACCCTCTCTCCCACCTAACAAGCTAGATGTAGCCTTGTCTAGTTGGAACCGCTTGCTGGTTGCTACGGTAGCACAAGATGACCTGTGCAATTTCTGCACATGTGGCGTCTCCACCCGTGCAAAAAAATCGGCGCCAGTCATGGGCACCACCAAAGGTGGTCCGTAGCTGGACAGCCGTGTACAGCTCAACAGACGTTGCACCGCCTAATGATCCTGGTCCATTGACGCAAGCGGATTTTCCGGGCGTGCAATGGCAGACAGACGACCCATTGGGTGACAACTATTGGCCATCAGATTTGGAGTTGTGGCAATGGATGGAACAAGGATGGGTCGATTGGACGGTCAGATTTGGTTTTACACACTTGTGAAAAGGAGTTTTCATAGCTACCTTAATTGGTATGCCTTACAGACAGTATATATTTGTTTGAGATTCAGTTCACGTACTGACGCGCAGTGAGATGATGTTTCACTTCATTGTTTCACTGCACGGTAGCGTTCGTAAACGAATTGCCATAGTCCGAGAGTGAATTTTTAATCACTACTCGGTAGTGCGCTGAAACTGTTAGGCTGGACATTAGGGTCGCCACGTTCTCCTGGCATAGATGCATGCATGAGCTTGATGAGGGATTTCTAAAATGTTCCTTCGTCGCTCGAACTCATTCCTCCCAGAGATTTTCCCTACTGGTAGCTCCTTGTAAAGGGGGTGTTGAAATTAATCTCATCCCTATGGACCCCGTAGCGTGATTCTCAAGGGGTAGCGTAAAAGCTTAGCGGAACTACAGGGTTAGTCTATGGTAGTTGGGCTGATCGTGCAAAATACACATTCAGAGGCATACACTCACAAAAAACAAGTAGGAGAGGATAAAAGCACAAACGCACACACACAGAGTCAAATAACGACAAGCTGCCCCAAAAAATGCAGTCAGGAAATGTTGCCAAAGCGTGCATTGATGCATCCACGAGTGCCCAACGCAAAAAATAGCAGAAACACAACTGCCAGCTACATAATGGAAAACAAGAGCACTACAAGGGCCAGGATGCAGGGACAGGTGAAAAAATGCGGGCCTCAAATGTAACTTCCAATTCTGCGACACGCCCAAACCTTCTCCCTGAAAAAACTAAAATTTAATATGAAAAAAAAAATGGCAGGAGCAAACAACAATATGAAAGGACATACAATTGACCTATGTGTGTTTTGGAGGTGATTTGGTGCTTTCTCTGGGATTTACCCTTCTTTGAAAATGGCGCCCGCGGCGGGCGCCATCTACGAAACGAAACAATTTTGTTGTTTTCTCTAGGGTGGCAAAAACCCCACGGAACCTTTTACAGTACATGAATGCAACATGGAAGGCACGAAAAAACATTTATGCAACATGAAAGGAATTGAATGCGAAATGAACGGAAATTAATGCCAAATGAAAGGAAATGTCTAAAGGGAAAGCGCCTTCAGCGTGTAATGTTACATTTTCAGTAATAAAATTGCGACCGCTTGGGAGGGTACCCGCATGACCTATGACCAACGATTGAATCCCAAAACTTCATGATACAGGCAGCAAACTTTTTGCATCAACTTCATCAGATAAAGCTATTCAAAAAAAATATTTTAGACACTTGTGAACATATTGCTTGCAGCGGAGTCCACCGACTCGATGATAGTGCCAGAAACAACTTTTGAACATGTCCTGCCCCCCTCCCAAAGAGGACGCGCCTCCATTTTCAAGATCTGAAACCCAAAGTGGCAAACCTCTTGAACAGAACCAGCCAATATGGCTACAATAGAGGCGCTATTTCATTGGCTTTGTTCTTGATGTTTTTCATGCTTGATGATTTTGTTTTGTTCTTTGAGCCGGGGTGAAACAAAAGAATCGATAAGAAAATAATTTCCTGCCTTGATGTGCGCTTGTTCCAGTTTGTCCTATTTGTACAACACGTTTCATGACTACTTTCTTGAGCCATGACTTCCAGACCCATTTTAGATTTTTGTGCGAGAATTGTTTATGTTTTTAACAGGTGTTTTTAACAATATGACTTGAAAGACCTTTGCTTTGCGAAATTCATACCTTGAAATCACCTATTTTTATATACAATGGGGTGTGCCGACCACTCTATTCTCGGTAGCAACGGGGATGCAGAATGTCTTTTCCGGCCTTTGGGTTCTTGTTTCGATGGAAATTTGTTTGTGGTTGGTTGGGGGCCTTTGTAATTGACCTGCAGTTTGTAACCCGTGCTTCAACCATGGACCATGTGGTTGTACAAGTGGCAGCAGTCCCAGAAGGACATTTGTGACACGAAACTCCACAAGCCCATTTGACACGAGTATCACAAGCAAAATCCACGGCATGTTTCCTTCCATGCCCTCATCAAGCATATCTCCAACTGCAAAACACAGCCTACGGGATGCTCAAAGAAACAACCTTTGGAGTCGGAGGAAAACAATGTTGACATCGTCAAGGCACGGATACATGTTTTTGGATATGTCAGATATGTAAGAGCGCACGTTGCGCAGAGCGCCCACTATTGATGTTCTCAATGTAGGGATCAAAGCTAGCAGGTGAGTATAAGTGTTTGATCTTCCTGGCAAACTGGGGTTTTGCCCCTTTGAGTGTGGAATAAACAAAGCAGTTGCAAGCCATCATTCGGGGCTGTTGTGCTCGTTTGAGACTGTGGCGGCTGCAGCCATCTCCGCAGTGACGTGCTTGAGCCTAACATCAGTCATAAACACTATTTGTGGAGTTGGTCCAAGTAAAAGGAAACATTACTGCTGATCATGGATGTGAGCATCAGGTTGTGTTGAGTCAAGGCCAGCATCCTAAGTTACTTGCCCCACCAAGCATTATATAAGGGCAGCCGAGCAGACATCCGTTTATGCATGCCAAAGCCATTTTGTGTTGCACGTATTTGTGAGTCCTCGACAATGCCCATGGACTGTTGCCTTCAGCGATGTCATGGCAGCAGGTTTGCGGAAATTGTGTATTCTATTTTTTGTGCAAGTGACTTGAGGCATTCTTTTTCGATTTTGCCACTGCCCTTTTCGTTCATCTTCGTCCAATCTGTCCAGACTTGTATGCCGCGTTCAAGTACACCGATTGCAGCGCACATATGCCATGCGAAACCGAAGCTCAAGGTGTGTTTTACCGGACTCTCTAGCTGTGTGTCATCCAAGAGTGATCGTCATCCAAGAGTGATCGGGCCCGTAGATTGATCATAGTCAGTCTGCGAAATGTGAGTCTCTATCCAGTATATACTCAGTTGTGGGTCACTTTTTCATCTTGCAAATTGCAAAGGTGACGGAAAGTCAAAAGCCCAAAAGCACACTCACACACACAGTTGCACAAGCACCTACATGCTACTTGAAGATGGTTGGCCACCCTCTGCATCGAATACGTTCTCAACGTCGGCATTCCAACAGCTTGCCATGGGAAACTTTGCCTTGGAGCATGAAGTTCTTCAGTTGCAGGCAGAGAGGTCTAAAACTTGTGAGTGTTGAGCATACCAGGCTAAGTTCATACATGGCTTATGCCTCCCATCTCAATTCAGATGATTCTTTAATATTTTTTCAAGGGTTTCAATGACCTGTTCACAGCCTCATTTCCCAGCATGGCTTCCCTTGAAACACCGGTACCGAGCGCGCTCGCTTCGAGGCGCTGTTGCTTTGCTGTTCCACTGGCCGGGGCAGTGCTCAGGCCGCGTCGTCACCCGAAACGATCTGAGACGCGATCCGGAGACGCTCGGATCTGAGGTACCCAGATGGCGCTTTTGAATCACGATACCCACTCCACATTGAGGAATGCCAGGGTGCCTCAGGAGTTGCGAAATTCGGAGTTGTTGTTCTAAGTTCTAGTATTTCGGTCTATTTTTTGGGGCGGTTGGATCTGTTCAGGTGCCTTGCCAGGCAGAAGTTTGGGCAAGGAAAGCAGGATCCTGAGTGGGTGAGCGCTTTTGTCTGATTGACAGTTGACGACGTGCGGTTGGAAAACGTGTGGGTTTCATCCCGCAGGTCAAGGTTGCTTGGGTCGCTTGCGCCAGCATCTACTGGAGGACCGGCTGGCCGGTGGTGGGGGTGAGAATCTCATGCACGCACCGCCGCCCGACATACACAGACTCGTGAATCATTCTCTTGCCTTGAAAGTATGCAGATTGCACATGTTCAGATCCAGGATGGAAAGCAAATATTCAATCTTTGTCTTGGAGCGCTCTTGTTTGGAAGTTCTTTTCAGCATCTCCAGGTAGTTCTTGCATGTTCTTCAATCTCACAGATATGTACATCCACCAATGCATCTACACATTGGCTTTGGTCAGAGTGCTGTCCTGTCATATGCCGCCCAGTATTGTCAAAACGCTCTCTGAAAAAAAAACATGTCAGGATGCTGATTGCAATCGAGTCATTTGCGACAATATTGCTACATCAACTCCTATTGAGGCCAGTGGCAGTTCTTGTGCATGTCTTTTGCAGTGATGATTCAGCATCTGCAGAGGTTTATGCGAATGAAAGCGATTGGGCACCCTTCAAGAACCTGTGTGGTCATTTGCAGGAGAAAACGCCGAAACTCCCCGCTGGATTTGGAGGTGGAACTTTCTTCTCCCGTTCGTAGCTTCTTGTGACGTTCGTAGCTTCTGGCCTCCAACCAAGAAACGGCCTCCACCGAACGACCACGTCCTTGTTGCTTCCGATTTGCGGCCCCCGGTCCATCCGGAGGTCGTGGGGACGAGCTCGTCGTTCGCTCGTCCAGGAGCTCTTCCTGGACCTCTTCGACCTCGGAGTCCGTCCCTCGTGGTGAATGGGGGGCGCTGCTCTGGGCGGTGCTTTCGTCAGCCTCTGTTAGGTGAGGTTGTTAGAGGCGGACCCTACGGAGGATGATGTCTTGGAGCTGCAACAGCTGTGGCAGGCAATGAGACTTGTGGCAGGTCGCGTTGTTGCACATACATTGTCCATGATTTGGAAATCCACCTGTGCTTTTGCGGTTGGGCGATTCGCCGCGAGGTGTTTGCCAACTCCTTTGGTATTTCGCCGCCTGACCTGGCAGATGCGCCGGTTGGACACTCAGAAAACGTGGGGATTCGAAAACCAGATGGATTGGAGCGAACGAGGTTTATGCCAACAGCACACGTGCGGTTCTGCGGCGCCACGCAACAGTGGCTCTAGAACATCTGCAGAAGGCCTCTTTCATGGTGAACGTCTTCTAGGCTTGTGAGTGACCTAGCAATCACTGATTCTGAGATCGATTTATCGACATCTTTCTTGAGTAGTGGACCTTTAAATATTTGCCTACAGGGAAGAACAAGTCCCGTTGGCCCATCGGCTGAAATGAACACTCCGCTAGGTCCGTATACCAAAAGAATCCATCTAGGCTGATGACGCATATCTCGGACATTACATCTGATGGCACGCGCTCGGCGCAAGCAGAGCGGCGGCCAGGTCACAGTCAGCGGCAAGACTTAGCCGGTGTGAGCGGTCACCGGAAACGGACGTGCGAGGTCAGCGACCTTGCGAGTTGGCCAGCTCGAAGTCCAAGAGCGGACAGAAGCACAAGTGGTCAAGATCAGAGAGCGGCCGAGCCGCAAAAACAGCCCATTGCAAGGAGAAGGAATCCCCAATGCTGCCTTGCTTTCACGAAAGAACAACACCTCACTCAACTCAAACAGGGCTGATGGTGCATAAGCGTGGCTCAGATGCAGATATTGTCATTTGGCTTTGAGTAGAACCAAGGAGATCCTGAGCTCTGATATGTGGTGTAAAATGATGTACCATCACTGTCAAGAAAGACAGAACGGATCAGAAGGCACGGTGGAGGTGACAATGGCCACGGTCTCGGCAATCGGGTCGAGATGCCGGAAGGGCTGGAACTCAAGAAGACCTTCTAGGAAAATCGGACGGTGCAAAATGATGAGGAAGGAGGGACAAACATATTACACACTGTACCGGGCAACATTTGAACGCGCAGAGGAGAGGAGACATGCGGGGATGTGCAATGCTGCCCCGGATGAATACATCCGGTGCGCAAAGGCGGAAGCAGCTCGGGCCAATCGAAAGACAATGCTGCGCATGCGTGCCGCGTTGCCATGAGCCGATTGCTTCAAGAGCACCGCGATGTCCGCAAACTGAAAAGACTGAAACGTCGGCCGCTGTCTTACAGGACTTGGACTTGCCCCGACACCGCTCACCAATCTCCGAGAAAAGGGGTTCGCCAAGAGCTGGGATCGACTTCTTGCAGCTGCATTTGGGTCGGTGCCGACAAGAGCAGTCCACACCACCCGTGCAGGTCTTGGATGGCGGTCGGGTTCCAGATTTTCTTCGAGCTGAAGAGGTCTTGGACGTGGTGCTCCTGGCGGCTTTGGTTCAAAGAGTCTGGACGCCGATCAGCGTGGAGTGAAACTTGGGGCACGGGCTCGACGTGCGATCGCAATCAACTTCGAAGGGCTCAGTGTTTAGGTCAACGTAACGTGGTCCGGACAAAATCCAGAAAATCAAGAACTTTGATGCCGTGGCAGGCCGCTGCACTGGCACGACGCCTGCAACTGTTGATTGAGAATGTTGCTTGGCCAAGTAAAGCAGCAAAAATGTGTTTCTTGAAAAAGCAAGCCTCACTCCATGTGACCGCAGGATTCCTGTGAAAAAAATCACCCACAAAGCACATGACTGGCCAATGAACCCAAACTCGACCGAAGCGTCAGGTCTCAGTCACTTTGTTGCTGAACTTTCACATCGTGCAGCTGGAACATAACGGTGCGCCGATGTTTTGTTTGCGAGGTCTCTCCCGTTAGAGAGCCCAAGTCCGGCTTCCGTTTGGAAGAAGTGACTCCTCCTTGTGCAAGTTCACGGGTTTCAGAAAACACTTGCATTAAGCTGCCGAGCAATCCAGGACGCATCGTGGGGCGAAATTTGGTTCAGGAGATGTATGGAGATGCCAGCAGTTTGCAAGTCGTATCCTGCTCAGAAAGGTTTTTGTCATCACTAGAACATGTCAAGAAACGTTCAAACATCGCAGACACTTGTTTGTGCCCCCTCCAAAAAGATGAGGTCTTCCATGAGATCCCTGGAAAGCGATGGGACGCTTTGACACACTTGTCGGGAAACCCGGACCGTCTCGCTTGAATGAGCGACTGCATGATTTCGTCGGGTGCCCCCGCAGTCCAACGGTCCAGTCCAGAGCCAAGGTTGGATTTGCTGGGAGTTTCGGAGCATGCGGTTCAAATGGCCGAAGTGGGAGTGGAGGTGCCGGGCACCACAAAAAGAGGGACTTCGAACCTGTGATGCTCGAAAACGGAGCCGGTGTCGGAATCAGGCGGCCAACACCAGCCAGCGGCTGTTGGAGCGCAATCCCTTTCTGTCGTACATAGGCGAAAATTCGCGGACCTCAGACACCATGGATCTGTTTTTTTGTCAGAAAGGTGTCGACCCGTACTTCAAGAACGATCGCCTTTATGCAGATGTTCTCCAACGCTTGTCTTTCTTCATCGATGCAGGCGGATAGACTCGGATAGACTCTCGGATGGACCATGTTTTGAATTATTTAGATCGTCATTCTTCCTGCTTCCATGTTCATTTGAGACAAAGGTTTCAAAGGACTCGTGATTGGAATCGCAGCGCTCGGGTAATTTGCTAACAACCTCGCCAAATCCGTCGGGGTTGGATGAGAACATCTTCCATTTCCTCAGTCCCTTTCGTTGTATGACAAAGTCTCTTGTACGGCAGGTCGTTTTACTCTGCACCGCAACACATCTCTGAATGCTTCTCTGCAAGTCGCCGCGACCTCATGAGACAAACGCAGAACGCATAGGCTATAGAGGGTCGGAGAAGAATCCGTGAAGCCGTGAGGCAGATGAATTGACATGTAAAAGATGTAATCGAAGAATCGGTGTGAGGCAGATGAATCCCTGGACATTGTCTTTCTTGATGCTCGCCATGACTATGAGGCCCTCACCTGTACCCTCTGAAGCTAAGTCTCCGCGGCTCCGTGGCCGCCCGTGGCCCACCGGCCGGTCTTCTTTCCGAGGCCGTTCTAGACGATGTGGCAGCTTGGAAGCCAAAGGTGCGTGAGGGGGGGATTCTCTCGGGTGCGAGCCCCAGGGCGGCCGCGGATCCATGGTGGGGCCGCTGACCATGGGTCCGGAGCGGTGACGACGACGGTCAGCTACATGCGATGAGGTCACGACTTTAGCTGGATGTTTCCCACCGTGGTGTTGGTCTCAGAGCTGTGATGACCTGCTCATTCCCAGCCGTGGAGATTTCAGCATCGGCTGCTGGACCAGCCAGTTCTGTCCTTTTTCAGACCGACGATGTTGAGGCTATGGCGGTTTTCAAAGAGACCTTCAATGCTCCAGACAGGACCATGCACCTGGCGCCAGATGGTGTTTGGTGGGATTCCTAGGATCCCTTGACATGGCTGGGCTGCACAGCACAGTTTTGGCTGGGCTGCAGAACTTGCAGCAGAACTTGCATCATCTAGCAGAACTTGCAGAACGTGTTTTTTTCCCACTCCACTCCAGGTGGCTCCAGCTCTGAAAAACTCTGTGGCCACCACCGGGAGTTCTGACCGGTCAGTCGTGGGTTCCGTCGACCACTCCGATCCGTCGCGATTGCAGCGCTCGCGGTCAGCCGAACGGTTTGGAGCGGCTCGGGTGTGTCGGCGTGAAGGCCCCGAAGTACATACCATGCGGAGAAAGCGCCGCCAAAGCGCCGAAGTCACACAGAATCGCTGGTGAAAAAGGGAGAACAGAGCGACAGAAGCTGATGACCACGTAGTGACAGGCATGAGTGAAGCACCTCGAGAGTTGTGAATGCAGTCAAATTGGACGACCGCTGATGACCACGTTTGTTTGCCCACGTCGCTTCATTCACCAAAAAGGACGATGCGTAAGTCGCTTGGTCTTCAGGTGGGGATTCGCCATATCTCTGGCTGGCGCAGGAGAGGTGGGTCGAGTTGGCTGGGCAAACCTCTGGAAAGCTCCTCCGGGTGTTGTGCCCTTTGTCCCAAACCTGGCCATCTGTTGTCCGCAGGAAACACCACAGAACTCTTCCTCCGAGCGGAGGTCGGGCGGGGCTCGGTCCGAGCGTCCGCGTCGGTGCTGCGACGCGGCTCTAGGTGGGTGCCCTTGCCACGCGTGGACTCCGAGCACCTCGAAGCCATCTTGGCGGGTGGAAAGGAGAATCGGTTTTTATCCTTTTGTTTATTTACAGTCATATCATATCAGGTAGAATCATTTACGGTTGGTGGGAGCGTGTCCGCGAGTTCGGGCATCCCATTGGAGGGGTTTCATTAATCAAGATTCTACATTGTAGTTTAAGTTTTTTTGTTGTTCTTTTGCTTTTGGGTTGATCTCTGACAGAGGCTATCTCTGATGGACCTTGCATCAGCTTCAGCTTCTTCTCAAGGGAGTCCACTGCTTTGTTGGCATTCACAGTTACCGTCAGGAGTTACCATCAGCAGTGCCAGTGGATTATGGCCCGGTGCTTTTGCTTTTTCATGCTTGGGAAGGAGAGCGTAGAGAGTGCTTCTCACACCGTCCTGGTTCATGCCTTAGGCAGATACGATGTCGATCTGGAAAGGAGAGTGCTAAGGCACTGGGAACACAAAAGTGAGAAGATACAGGTCGTTCCCCTATTCCTTCCTCCGGTCTGACTAGCATTGTTTGCATAATACGTGAAGATGCTTAAAGTGTATGCACGTGTTCAAACACGAAGGGAGGGACCTGTTTTCCAAGCTGCTGTCACTGGACACATACTTTCCCACTTTCGGCTTGGAAGCAGCATTTTGGGGAGAAAAAAAGAGTTGTATGCTTCATGCATTGGGAACAATTTTGCACAGATCAGAAAATCCTTATAACGGTTTTTTCTTGACATGTCCAATAATTATAGCTTCTACTTTTCGAGTTGCTACGGCACGTGCCCAATAGCCCTTGGCCAGGGCCGTGTATTGGGATGAACCCGAGAGGCGGTGCATTCGGAGCTCATGGTTTCAAGGCGACGGACCCCGTCCGTCGACCAAACAGGTTCCCGTCTTCAAGGATTGTGGGTTTGGTTTGGTTCAAAAGAACCAAAACCAAAACCATGCGGCAGATGAGTGGCCATTGGTTCGATTTGTTCAGGGAAGATTGGTGGCCCCTGGACGCCCTACGAAGAGGAAGATGGAGAGGTGGATGTCAAATATCTCGTGAAGTTTCGACCAGTGAGTCAAGCAAGATGGCTGTGGGTCATAGAATGTCATAGCAGCCTTCAGAACTAGCAGCGTAGCATCATTCCAATCTTCCAAACTGAAGCAGATTCTCCTATTCTGATGCCTCTCAAGGCTAGCGCACGCCTTTATTGAGATCTGAAGTGCTTCACGGTTTTTCTTTCTTTCTTTGGATCCCAAAACAGGACCCCGCCCGCCGATCCGCGCTCGGTCCGCAGGGCTTGGAGACCGCCTTTCAGCGCCTGCGGACGAAGAAGGACCGTCCCGGGCAGCGCGACGGACGCGTCCGGACGTCGTCGTCGTCTTCCGCGGTTGGCAGGAAAAGGCCCCGCTGCTGGTGCCCGTGAACAGGCCACGGGCCACGGGCCACGGGCGTCGCGTGACGAGGTGGGTCGCGGGGCCATGTGTTTTTGGCCAGGGGGACACATGACGTGCGCTTTGAGGCGGGAAACGAGTGAAAGGAACTGCTTTGGATATGAAGACGGCAAAGAAACACTGCCAGCCGGGGTGATTGCCATCAATCTTCCATTGCTCATCAAATGAGTATAAGCACACTCATATTGCGAGGCGCTGCCACCAGAAGGGTTGCAAGAGGACGATTCAAGCACATGGTTCTTCGGTGGCAGTGGGCCAAAGCGCTATGCTGTGGTTCGGGCACCCAGGAGATTTGGCATCCTGCTTTTCTTTGGCCGCTTCTGGTGCGTGCGTGCGATGCCCCATGGAGATACCCCATGGATTCTTCTGTCATGATCCAGATTCTGCAGCAAAAACGGGTCCACCCACCCCCCCCAAAAAGCCAACCTCACCCAAACCGGTGCACCGGAACTCCCCGCTCCCACCGGAACCCGCCTTAACCGGTGTCTCACCGTCCGTCTCAGACCGGTCCCCTGCACCTGGAGAAGTCCGAGGAGGAGAAGGCGGTGAAGGCCGGTCTACCGGGTGACCAGGTCTCTTGGGATGGGTACAGAGCTCCCAAAACTCCGTTAAGGTACAGGGAGGTGTTTTTTTGGGGTAACTGTGCCATACTGTGCCACTTTATTTGTTCTTTTTTCCGAAGCGGTTTTCCGTTCTTCAGGTTCTTCAGGGTTCTTCTTTTTTTTTTCCTTTCGACCAAGAATCTCCCGAAGCGGCGGAACCTGCAGGATGCCGGAAGTGGCTGGCTAAGCAGATGAAAGAGGGAAAACGATGAAAAGAAGTAAAACCATGGGAAGCCTTTTGCAAATAGATTTTGGTCAGAGTCAGAAGTTTTATTTTCAGGAAGTTGTTAGTGAACACTCACTTAGTGAGGTGATGAACTTCAATTTGCTGCTGTACAAGAAGCCGTTGAGAGGAGTGGGGGCCAGAAGGAAACCTTCCTTGTTTGGCGTGGGCACCTCACCTGCATTAGGGCAGGAACATCTCCTATGGGGCCACTGATTAAGGGGCTTGCGCCCAACAGCAGGCCAGCAGGGTGATTTCATGTGTGCCGACGGGTGAATTTCGCCCAGGTACTGGGTGGTGGCGGGTGAAGAGAAGCTCCATGAGGACGGCAGTTGGTCACGAACCCCGGCGGTTTTGTCGGGGGGGCGCTGTGGAGCGAGGAGGAGGAAGAAAGATTGCCCAGCCGGGTTGAGTGGCTGCCTCAGTGGTGAAGGCAACCATTATTAATCGGTGAATGTTTCTTCTTCTAGGCTCGAGAGTGACTTAGCAATCATTGATTCTGACAGATTGATGATGATCGATGCAACGGTATGTTCTTCCAGTGGTTGACCTTGACCATTTAAGCATTTCTCCACTAACAAGATCCCAAAATAACAAGTCCCGTTGGCTGAAAGAACATTCGTTTCCGCATACCAGTTTTCCACTACAACTGTCCAGTTTGCGAATACAGCCGTCCAGTTCCGAATACAGCTGTGACCTGATTTGCACTGTTTTTGGCCTCAACGGATGTTTTCTGCGCGAGTGCGACCATGAAGACGGTGAGGTGTTTGACCTTTGTGGTCCATGGCATCGGCCAGTATCATCGTGCTCAGCAGGGGCTCAACTCCCAGTTCTTCAAGGCGCTTTCTTTTCCTTTGCCCGCCTTGTGACGGGACTTTCTTTTTTTCGACGCAGCAGCAAAAACACTCTTCCCGCCTGCAAACAGGGCTTAGTTGAACGCAAAACCGAAGAACGGGGACGGACCGTGCTGGCCGTTTGGGGTCAGGAAGTGTCGAAGTTCCGAAAGCTGGCCATGAAGTATCAGCTTGAAAGATTGGCATCGGAGCCTGAGGTCCCACGGTTTCGAAGGCAACGCAAACGCACTTGACGCACTTGGTTTCTTATGCTGTCAGGGTGGTCCCAGGCCGCACGGACGGGTGGAGTTCCTTCCCTTGGAATGGTAGCCCGGGATGTTTTGTTTTGATGTCGCTGTGCAGAACGGGAGGACGAAGCAGCCGTTTGGTTTGCCTTTCAGGTACGGTCCTATTCATGTGGACGTTGGAATAGGCCTCTTCCGTGTCCAGGTTTTCTTGATGATACAATTGTCGTGTGTATCAAGTATTGATAGGAGCAACACGAAAACATCAAAACAGGGTGTCTCGTGTTTTTGCATCTTGCGATTGGCGAGTGGTGGTGACCGGACGACTGGGAGGCAATCGATTGAAGAACGTGACGCTCAAGTCAGCTGGACCCTCAGTCGGTGCCAGAACTTCCGTCAAACTTCAGAAAGGAGACCCATCCAATTCCTGGGGGCTGGGTCGTTCTTGGAGTTGACCGTTCTCACGAGCCCCGGCAGGCCGTCGGGCCGTCGGGCCGTCGGGGTCTCGGAGGTGAGCCCGTTGCGGGACTTCGCGAACTTCGCGGTCGCTGACATCATGGTCTACCTGGACGGAAGAAAAGCGGCGAAGTCGGGGGCAGCTGATTGATGGGTTTTTGGGTCGCCAGCTGGGCCGGAAAGCAGCTTTTTTGGGGTGAACATCATCAACGGGTCGGGGCGTTCATCGGACTAACCTGTGTCTTACATGGTCGTCCACAACGTGGCAGTTCTCATTGTAGCAAGACCAGCGAAACAGCGACCGGTCGTGCGATGGTCGTGCAGGATGACCAATGGCGGGAACGAATACACGAAGAGCTTACCAGAAAGATGGCCAATAGCTCAGCAGCTGGTGCAGAAACTGGCAACTTGTACCTTATCCACTTTCTCGTAAACTCAGTTTCAGAGGCTCCTAGTAAAGAGACATTCTGTTTCAGGGTCAACTGTGGAAGCTTTTCTCAGATCGCACTCCAGACTACTCTGGAGAGGCCCCTTTTTTTTTGCGTCGGCACTTGGGGATGTTTTTGCATGTTCAGCGCCACATCACATGGCGCTGCTCCAGATTGCTGTGGTCGGGCACTCCTTGGGGTCGGTCATCATGTTCGATCTCATGCAGAAGGCGCCGACCGCCACCGGCAGCGGTGCCGAAATCTTCCGCCAATTCACCCGGCAAGAACCTTTGATGGCCCACGCGAGCGACGCAGAGATTTGGATTCTTTGCGTTAAGTCATGTGCCCCCAAGCTTGAGGCGTTTCGATCCAAATCACGGGGGTTATTAATCAACAGTCTACATTCTGAGTGAAAAGAACGAGTTTGCTGCACTTTTCACTGGAGTGTGCAGGGAGTGGAGAAGCTTCCTCAAGGTCTGCACTGCTCCCAGAAGGACGGCTGTTTCCAAACCTTGCCGTGAAACATGTGACGATGCTGCAAGGATGTTTCCCCAAGCACAAAGAAGCCAACAGTACCGGCGCCTGCGAAAGTGAATGTTGCCACGCCTGGCAGCTTTGACCGAAAGGGTGTCAAGATTCTCAAAGCGCAAGCCTCAGGTGCCAGTCTTTGGTGTTGCAGTACGCACACACACACACACACACACACACACGCACAACTAGCACATGTGGCCAGTGGTTTGATGAAACCGATAAAACTACGTAGTACATTCTTGTGGGTGAAGCAATGGTCCCAGAGAAGCTATCGCTCCTTTGATACAGACTGTGGATCTCCAAGACTCTTCACCCTTTCTTTGCATCCCAAGTGCTTCAGGATCACGTGGCGAAAGGACACGTCGCTGCCTTGAGCAAAGGACCGTCGGTTTGGAGCCCTCCGAAGTCGAGATCTTCGAGATCTACGAGCAAAAACCCTTCATCCACTGGTTTTTATCGCTCTTTTTTGTTTGCTTTTTGCCGAACCATGCCATGAAGTATGCCATGGCCGATGCCATGGCTGCCACAAGAAATGGCAGGACAAGCAGCGGGAGCCATTGAGCATCCGGTTCCACGATGTCTCTTTGCTGTTGGATCGCCCTTGGGGATGTCAAGACCTTGACCGATCTGCCGCAGACCGATCTGTTACGGACCCGCAGACCGATCGGCCTCAGGTTCTTGAGCATCCGTTTGTCGCAGAAGGCGCAGCGCGCCTCGAGGCGGGGGAAGGGCGCCTCGGGGGTCGAGCACTTCGGATTTCTGGCTCCGGAGCATTCGAGGATTGCTACCAGAGCCACAGCGAATGAAACACAGTTGTTCGCATCCAAAAAGGCAATGTGAGTCTCCACTTATCAACGCCGCAGGGTCGCGAACAACGCTCCGACGTTTCCGCGACTCCTAAGGTGTTACGGTCGGTCCCGGAGATGCCACGGTGTCCTGTCCATTTTCTACGGCATGAACACGAACTTCTATATATATATATATATATGACTTCTATCTTATTGGGGGGGATGTGTTGGGGTCCCCAACAAACACGGTTTCCAAGACTACCCTGTGCTGCTGTGAAACAGTGCCGACGTACTCCAGCCAGGTACTTCAGGGGCCTCGACGTCCGCTGGCCCGCGGTGTGCGAGGGACGAGGATGGAGGACGAGTTTTCTTCAGCAACCTGCGAATGTTTCAGAGTTCAGCATGAACATGACTGAACATCCCTACAGGTCAGTCAGCTTCACCTCAGTTGATCATAGAAGCACACACGACTCCATGAGGTTTTCAGGACCAGGCGTTGGGTCTGGATCTGTAGGGACAGGTCCATACGGCGGACCGTTCTCGCCCCACGTCGTGGAACAATCGCTTCAGCTTCGACGAAGAGGATGTTCAACGTCTTCCATCCAGATGACCCGATCGCGCACCTTTGTCAGATTAGCTTCACATGGTTGCCGGACTGTTTTTGCTTTTTTGCTTGCTGAAAAACTGGTCCTTTATTTTTGTTGTGGGCACCAGACTGTCCATGACTCTTCGGCTTAAGGCAGCAGAACATGCCCTTTTGGGGCAAAAAACCGACGGTTTTCTAAGGTATCGGATCGAGCCGCTTCTGAACCCGGCCTATGCGAAGCAAAACCCAAGGCCTCCGAGCGCGACTGACAAAAGCAGACGAATGTTTTTTGTCCAGACAGTGTGTAATTCGATAGGGAGGTCTCCAACCAATCGGTAGACTGGCGTCTTTTGGGGTTCTCCCTGTTTGAATTCACACCCACACATTCTTCAGGCAAACACAGACGAGTGTCTTTTGACATCTTTTGACCAGCTGCGCCCAGGGTGGTACCTCACAAAGGTGGTTTGCGCTGGAACCACAAGATTAGCAGTTGGTTTACCAGCTCCTCCGCGTTCTTCAGCATGCACTTAAGCTCGCGGATCACCAGCTTTGCTCAAGTGGTTGATGGAAACCCCTGTGGTCTTGAATTACCCTCCCGCAAACTAACAGAGAATTGACTGGTGGAAGACAATTTTCCTCTACAACCCAGTGTTTTTAGGGTTCCATGTTAATCTGCAGGGGAATAAGCTTGATGAGTTTCTCCTGGTTTGGGCATGCGAGCATGTTCAGCTTTGGCTCTCCCGAGGATCTTATCACATGGGCACTCTTTGTTGGTGGGGTTTTGATGGGTTTCCTCAAAGACGGAATGAACGGAACAAGAACCTGATCAACTTTCTGCTGGTTTCTTGAAGTGGCCTCCAATGACCATCTGACCCATTTCCTGGTGTGTTTTGAGGTGTCCAACAGACAGAGGTATTCTGTCTGGAAAAGAACTGCTTCGAAGGACCTGATGGTGTTAAAGTACGACCTCCGATCGGTCTAATGAGCTTTCGCATTCGCCTTCCCTCCGACCCTTCGACCGTCCGAGATGTCATGCGCGATGCATCGCGACCGACCACGACCGTGACGTGCCGGGACGCCTCGGGGTGCGTGGCCGTGGCCGAGGTCCAAGGGACCTGACAGTGCCGGGCTGCTGGACTTGGACGTGGCATGGCATGTTGAGACGAAGTGAGATGGACCGGAGACCGGGCTGCCACGAGTGAGGTCGCCCAGGTGTTGTTGGGTCTTGAAGGGTTGCTACAGGGTGAGGCGATTGAAGGGTTGGATGTAAGACAAGATGTTTTTTAATCAGACCGAAGTCACTGTTGTTGGTTGTTGATTGGTCCTTTTGGAAGGCTTTGATTTGCTTTGCGTCCGGCACTGGATGCCAGGAAACCTTTGAGGAGGTTTTGGTTGTGCCGACTGAGGCCTGGTGGATGGGAGCGTACAGCGTTACAGCGTTGGAAAAACATGTTACCTTTGCCCAACAAATCCCTGCCTTTTAGCAGGGATGTCCTTTGCACCGACTTGGGGTGGCTGGTGGCTGAGTTGCCGAACAGGATCCATGCATCCGCCTATCTCGAGGTTCCCCCAAAGGAACTACCTCTTTCGGGGCGTCCGTGCGTCCGTGGGTCAGCTGGGACACCTGAGAAGTGGAGCACCAGAGCAACCGGGAACTACTTGCGAGCATCTTGTGAATGGAATCTTGTAAAGATAGGAAGACCCTAGAAGTCGGATCACCATTGGTTTTAATGGCCTTTCACCTGAGTTCTACAATAGTTACAACACTATTTCTTTCGCATCAAAAACGGATCCACAACGACTGGTCCCTCAGGACCCGTCCAGCTTCTTCGAGGTGCTTTGCGGGTGACGGGCGACGGTGCTTTTGTTTTGACATCAAAAAGAGAAAACGATCCAAATGAATAGCATATTTGGTACTATCCAAATGTACCATTTGGAGTCTCTAATTTTATTTCACCCTGGGAGGTTAATTTAGGGGTGTCCACTCACGTGTCCATTCATTTCTAATATCACCACCTCGACCCATAGGTAGACAGGTCTTGAACACCGGCGAAGCTTTTTCTTTTCCGCCACTTCTCGCGTCGCTCGACCCATAGGAGAAACCGGCGCGGCAAGCAGTGGTCACCGTGGACAGAGTGGACTACGCTTTGCAGGTGACCTCTGTCGTTTCTGGATTTCTTTTTCAAAAGCAACCACCGAGTCCTTTCCTCGTTGGTGCCACCGTCAGGTCAGTGCCTTCGAAAGCATGAATGAGATGCTCAGTGCACTCCAGAGTCACTTCTCCTATTGGGACAATGAGGCGGGGAGGAAGGAACGGAAGAAGGCGAAACCGGAACCGAACCTCCAATCCTCCAGTTTTGCCAGTGTCTTCTGTTGTGTCGCCACCCTCCCCCGGGCATTTCGGGCGGGCACTCTGGTGCGACCACGCCGAGGATTTGCTCCGCTTCGTCGTCGACCAAATCCACGAGTCGCTGCAAAGCGCGGGCCGCCGTGTTCCCGCTGGTGGTTGACGCCTCTCCCCGGAGACGAAGCCCGGGGGGGGGCCCAAAGAGGTCCGCCCCCCGGCTCCCGGCCGTTTGGTCGGGGGGCAGCTCTGGTTGGTCGGAACAGGCCGTTCCTCGCGGAAGAGGTCCGGAGGTCATGGGGTGGACCGATCGCAGGAGATCCCAGGACATCATGCCAAGGCATTTGGTTCTGGAAATCATTTGGGTTAGGGGTTTTGAAGCAGCAGGCCACTTTCACATTAAGATTCGGATGGCTTTGGGACCATGATTTGGTTCCCATGACCATCCATGACCCATCCCCGAGGACGACACGACAGACGCCTCCTCAGACCCTGAACGTCTCCCGTTCGACGAACGAACGTCGCCGCTTTCGACGAACGAGCGACGCAGGTAAAGCGAGATCGTCGAAATGAGGGGACCTGGCAGTAGTTCGACGAACGCGCTCGACGTGTTGGTCCCGTGTGTATATATACATTTGATAACACAGCTTAACCGGCCAAAGACTGTCTCACCCGAGGAAAGAATCGTTTCTCACCAAAAGATTGTGCGGGCGAATCGGTTCCTTTTTGTGTCAGTTGGCCGTCAGCAGTTCGGTGTTGCATCTCTTCCGTGCCATCCTTCGTCCATGGCGTCCCTATTCGCTCTGCTGGGAGGCGCGAACTTCGGTTCAGAGGCCATGTAGCTCCGCCGGGGCGCGAAAAACCGACTCCAAGCGCCGCCGGTGCTTGGCACCATGACCCCGGCAGAGGCGGTGGCGTTTTTGTGGCCAGACGTGTCCAGGGCCGGTGGGTGTGGGTAGGTGGAGCGATGGCTGCAAGGCTTGGGATCGTTGCTTCCACGTGAGGTGCGGCACGAAATTCGTTTCTTGAAAGAAGAGGCATGCGGCATGCTGGTGGAGAAGGGTTACTGTAGAGCTGTTCTTGGAAGATGTTTGTAGAAGTTTGATCGCAGTTGCAGAAAAGTCCGACGGACCGTGCCAGCTCCTCGCCTTTCTCGCTCAGGCCGTTTCTGCGTTGGCCGAGGAAGTCCGGCGCCAGGGTCGGGAGACGAGAAATCGAAGTGGTCTAACAAAGAGAGCAAGGCGCCCGTGCCAGGTATGGACGGATCTGCATTTGATGCGTTGGTTGCGAGGCCCATGACACTTGAGTAAATCCACGGCCTTTCAGAATTGATGTCATTTTGTACTTATCAAGCAAATGGAATGACTTGTTTACTAGGGTGAGGGTGCCTTTACTTTTGTCCAGAGGGAGTTATTCATTCTTGTTTGTTCAATAGGTGTTATTCTCCCGTGCTTTATGTCTTCAACATGTTTGGATCTCCACCTGCTTGTTGTCATTTGTTCTCAGTCGAGCAACGCCCTCGCTGGGAGATGCAGCTGGGAGCCTCTGCAATCCAACCGAATCACCGTGTGGTTGGAGGTTTGCGTCAGAACCAAGGACACCAGAGACACTCACCCAGTCACCTGCACATGGGTTGACTTCGATCTTGTTGAAGTCTTGAAGCAATGCAGACTCCTCGAATGTCGTTTGAGATGTACCCGTGGAAAACATTGGACAATTCACATGGACCCTGCCAAAAGCACTTGGTTTGTAGAGGAACACCGGACTCAGGGGCAGTGCCCTGGACCCCTCGTCGACTCCGGTCTCGTCGACTCCTGGACTCCTCCAGAAGGTGGGCGTTTCTCCAGGTCCCCCAAGACAGAAACGCGTCCCGTCGCGCGTTTCTTGAGCGTCTCCAAAGCCTTTGATTCTAGGAGTCGCACAAGCATATGATGCCTGAAACGACATGACAAGACATGACAAGACCATAGCCTTTAGACTTTGAGGGCTTCCTTATCCTTCCTTTCTTTGGGCAGGTCGGTCGGATGACCAGCATCTGTTCCTTTGGCCCTCTCGGCCTTTCACTTTGATCACCCCCATCGGGGCATGTCGGCATGTCTGTGTGGTTTCAACACATCAGACTCTGCTGTGTAGGTTCGTCCGAATCACATGGCCACCTTGCGACGGTGCTGGTACCAGTCTTGGTGTGAAGCATGAAGTCTTGGTTGATTTTTGCTCTCCTGCCCTTTAGGAATGCGAAGAAACCTTCGAAGGCAGCTGCACTGCACCACGCTTAAGGATCTGGACTCCGGACCCATTCCCTCGCTTTTGTTTCTGCCCTGAGGCCCAAACAGGACGACGAGAAACTGGAGCAAAGGAAGATCACACCTGCGAGGCGCGGCGAAGACCCGGCTTGGCTCGGTCGTCCGACCGCTGGGGGCGTGACACCTGGGATGACCACGAGCTCCGGAAGAAGCGGAGAGCTCGGCCGGGCGCATGTTCTGCTCCAGGTTTGATCCACCTCCACGAGAGACGGTGACCGAGCTCGGGGAGCTGCCAGAGGTTTCGGTGGAGATTCCCAAGGAGCGCGGGACCGGCGGGACCGGCGTTCCTTTGGTCCTTGGGCATGAATGTCCCTTGCTTTCGACCTCCCCCAGCTTTTTGGAGGGAAGATGGAGCTGGTTCCCGGCCCCCCGAACAGCCCGGCTCGGGCATTTGGGGTTTGGTGCAAAAGCTTTGACCCCAAAAGGATGCTGGGACTGAAATGAGTGGAGCTGGATGGCGTGCGTGTCAAGGAGGCTGAAGATGTGGACAAAGAAGCAGACATCGGTACTCCGTTGAGCAGCGCTTTGCAGAAGCAGAAGGCCATCCGGCTCTGATAGCAGTGCTTGGGGCACTTGACGCCCCTCATCACCTTGAGACGCCTTAAGGTTGCCAGACCTCCACAGGCCCGGACGCCTAGCAGAAGCTGGTGTCTCACTGCGCCAAGATTTCCCACCCTGTCCTTCCAAGGTTCCGAAGTTGGATCTCTCCTTCGTGCACAACAAAGGACCGCACAAACCTGCCGGGTGGTCGCCGAGAAGTCGAAGAAATGGAACGTGGACACAGTTCGGCCCGTCTTCCAGGGCTGTTAGGAGTTGTTCCATCTTGGGGGTTCTACGATCTGCGATTCATGATTTCTCCGTGGGAGTCACTTGGCTTTGGCGGTCTCGTGAGGAAGTCGAAGCGATTCCGATAACCTCATGAAGCACGAATGGAAGGGTGGAAGGAGCGCTCAACGTTTGCCACGAGTGCTTCGTTGTTGGAACTTTCTACAGAGTCATCCATCGTCATGCTTTGAAGCATCGTGGAACGTGTAGCCGAGTTGGTGGCGTAAGCCGGTGGGGATTCTTTGACACTTCACTTGCCCCGAACGTTGCTTTCTGGGTCGAGCCGATGACTTGCTAGAATGAGAAACATGGACAACCGTTCGCCAGAGGCGACAAGCCGCTGTGCTGGCTTTTGTTTTCACAGTGGAGGACACATGGAAGACCTGCAAGCATCGTCTCTGCCGCTGGTGCTGATGACCCTCATAGGCGAGGAAAGGGAGTAAGAAACAGTCGTCATCAATGCGTGTGTTCGCTGATTCTTAAAGCAGCCAATGCCTACCAGCTATTTCTTTAAGAAATACATTAACCCTCAGTGAGATCTAGTGGGCGCCGTTCTTCTTTCCCAAAGGTCATGCTATGTGCAGCTAGAAGATGCTTAAAAACATAACGACATAATCAATAAGAATCACCCGGAAACCCAACCAACCAGGAGGAAATGGATGTTTCCCCAGTCCCAGGCATTTCCTATGTAAAGGATCTCAATTAAGCCTGGTGGAACTTGGAACAACCAGAACTGGTTGTTGAGACGACCGGTTCCCAGGCAGGTCTTTCATTTGCACCGGCGGTGTTTTCCATGTTTTCGTGCGGTGGTTTTCCCGGTGGAACGCGTCTCCACTTCCCGACCGTTCGCACGGCACACGGGGCACACAGCGCCTCGGTCGGTTCAGACAGGGCTGGCTTTGCCCATGCGAGTGCCGAGGAGCGCACGGTGGTGTAGCGGACCTGTGTTCGTCAGGGTTCCCCCATGTTTCCTTTTCCATGGTTCTAAAGGACCATGGTCCGGTTCTAAAGGACCTCCGTCGGACATGTTCGGATCTGACCCCACCGCCTGCCTGGCCACATGCGCAGGATCAGCAGCGCATCGCAGAGTTTTATGGATATCGAGACGAGGCGCGACGAGTCCGACGAAGAGGTCGGATGTTTGCCAGGATGTCACCAGGTACACTCCCTGCAGTCATGGAAGTGGACACAAATATCTGGGGCCTTTCCAGGCCAGATTGTCCATTTCCATGATCGTTGCAGGGAGTGTAACAGGAAGGGTAAAAAAGGCCTTGTCACTGTTTTTGAGATGTCGGCCTACAACCCTGGTAATGGGATATGCCCACAATCGACACCATCCTCATTTTCCCCCATGGTGTCCTTCTGCGCCCCCCGGTCCAATTGGGAGTCTCTATTTTTGGACTTCTGGAGGTGATGTGATGGGGAGTGTCCTTCTGGACTGAACACGGCACCGTTCAGCGGCTCCGCTGCCAGGGCTTCATTGCCACGATGAACGGACTTTGCACCGACATGATCCGGCCAAGACTGTGCGCGAAACCGGATGGTTGGCCGAGCTCGGTTTGAACCGAGCTCCGGTTTTTTCGTGAACCGTTCGGTGAGGGAAAGACCGCTCGGTGCGCGATGTGCGGTATTCTTTGGTTTTTTTGGGTAGGGCATGAGGGAATGAACCTTTCCTAAAGGATTCCCAAAAGGATCCAGCCACCCTCATTCCTTGGCTTTCCTCGCACCCAACCTTTCCCGGTGCCGACTTGATCGCCGGTGACTCCAAGGGTTGGGTTTGCCTGAGTCACCAGTGACTCCAAGGTGGGCCGTGTGGTGAAGCACCATCCAGAGACTGAAACTGCAAGGTGTTTGGTGCTAAAAAACCGACCCTTCATGGCTGAAACCTGCATGTTTCTGAACGTTCAGGTACGTGGGAAATATGGCAGATGCAGCATACTGGCCTTTGTTGAAAAAGCTTGAAGCTCAGAGTTGATCACCTCGGGACTTCGACTTGGATGGGATTAGGAGCATCCGATCCGCTCAAGAATAAAACACATCCTGATGCAAACACTCCATATGGCGAATATATGCCTACATTGACACCGACTTCAACCTCCCCGAAGTAGGTAATAACATGGCAGTTCCATAGAGTGTCTGGGTGATGCAATTCGCATCCATTCGCTACAGTTGGAACCATGTGAGCAACCGCCAAACGCGAATCCCAGGCTTGGCATCACGCATGTGATCAACTGCTCGCTTGAGGCGGGTGAGTAGTTTCTATTTTTTGAGTGAGAGCCCCTCTAAAAGGATTTGGGCTTTGATAGAGATCAAGAAGGTTTTGTATCCTTTGAAACCCTTCCAAAGAGTTGTGTTTGTATTTCTTGCATTTATACTTTTGTTGCTATCAGCCACAGCATGCCAGGCACAAAAAGTTCCTCCAGCCTATGAATCCAAGGGCGTGCAGTGAGCGACAGCGCTCGACAGCCGCGACGCTTCCTGCGGGACGGGTCGCGTTCCGGCGCTCCTGCGAGGTACTTGCTACTGCCTTGGCAAGACAGAGAAGAGGAGGCGCAGAGCCTCACCAGGCGCTGAAAACGGGCGAAAAAACCGAAGAAACCACCGGATCCGACGGTTTTTCCCGCGAGGCCCCGGTGCGTTCGCGCGCCGTTGGGACTCGCGTTCGGGACCAGCGAGCCGAAAGCGATGGCCATCGTGAGGCAGAGATTCCGAACTTTGCGAGGGGCGACGCAATACATGAAGAGTGTGTTGAAGGCAAAGACGCGTGTTGAAGGCAACGACGTTCCTTTGTGGAGAGTTGGTTGACAAGTTGCCAAAACCAGCACAGCAGTGAGTTCACATGACACACACACACACACTTGATGAAATGCGTACAAATTTGGTTGCGGTTTGCCACACGGCGACCTAGGTAAAAAATGGACTGAGTAAAACGGCAAGGGTAGGTTAGAGGCCATCGCTAGGAAGTTGGTGGCCATCGCCCAAGTTTGGAGGCCATCGCTAGTAGGTTATGCGCACAAACATAAAGCTGCACCAAGCAACAAGGTTGGAGGTCATCGCTTATGGGTTGGAGGCCATTGCATCAGGTTGGAGGCCAGCGCTACTAGTTTACAAGACACAAGCTCAAAACGCATCAAGCAACAAGGTTGGAGGTCATCATTAGCACGTTAAAGGCCATCGTACCAGGTTGGAGGCCAGCACTACCAGTTTACAAGACACAAACTCAAAACACAGGTGGCAGGTGCAGTGGAGTGGCCAACTCCACCATCCCATCTGGCTGCCTAGCTTTGTTAGATCAGGTCAGCAGCAAGATGCCTGGTCCCCTGCCACCATACAGACCGTAAGGTCCCCTATGATTCCAAGGGTTCCACACGCACGCCTCCCGAAAGGGAGGCATGCGTGCATCCTGCCCGGAAAGGAGGCACCCGCGTCAAGCCCGGAAAGGGGGCTATGCGAAGCACATGTGCGCGCAAAAGGAACAGATGAACGATCAGCGAGACAAGACAGACAAAGGAGTGTATGTCGTTGTCGATGAAGGGAAACCAAGTGAAGAGGGACAACCAACAAACCTCATTGTAACAAACCTGGGCACCTGAACCTAGTTTGATGTAGAACGCGTGTGCGTGTATGTGCACAAGCTAAGGTCCGGGCGAAAGTGCGCGCAAAAGGAGAAAAAGGATGAGGATGACAAGACGTGAAGACAGCAGGACATGAAAGAAAAGAAGGGACAGAAGTCTGTGGGGGCCAATGAAGAGGGAACCAGATGAAAGGGGACAAACCGATGAATGAAAAGCCGGACCTCATTAAAACACCTGTTGTAAAAACCTCATTTGCTTGCAAGCACGCTGCGCGCGAAGAAGGAGGGGAGACAGAGAAAGAGAAAAGGAAAAGGAAAGGAAAAGGAAAATAAAGGACGGTGTTCCCAGCTACGACCCAAGCGTCCAAGGACACACCAAGATAAGAGGAGAAGGGTTCCCAGCTATGACGAAAGCATCCTGGGACACCCAAGCAAGAGAGAGAGAGAGAGAGAGCGAGCGAGCGAGCGACAGGAAGAGGAAGAGGAAGAGGAAGAGGAAGAGGAAGAGGAAGAGGAAGAGGAAGAGGAAGCGGAAGCGGAAGCGGAAGGGGGAGGGGGAGGGGGAGGGGGAGGGGAAGGGAAGGGAAGGGAAGGGAAGGGAAAGGGAAAGAGAAAGAGAAAGAGCAAGAGCAAGAGAAAGAGACAGAGAAAGAGAAAGAGAAAGAGAAGAGAAAGAGAAGAAAAAGAGAAGAGAAAGAGAAGAAAAAGAGAAGAGAACGAGAAGAGAAAGAGAAAGAGAAGAGAAAGAGAAGAAAAAGAGAAGAGAAAGAGAAGAAAAAGAGAAGAGAAAGAGAAGAGAAAGAGAAGACAAAGAGAAGAGAAGGGGTACGAAATGACGTCCAGGGACACGCCAAGGAGAGGGGTGTACCTGGTTGGAAGTCAGGGACACCCCAAAGAGCAAGAAGAGGGGAGAGGGAAAGGGGAGGAGAGGGAATTAAGGATCCAACCAGGTCCCAATGGACCTTGAACAAGCTTTGGTCGCTGCGACCGCGTTATGGCGTGCCCGAAGGCTGCCTACTCTTGACCGCTGCGGTCACCTTATGGCGTGCCCTTGGCAAAGGACTTTGGCTCAAGCCTGCTTTGTCCGCTGCGGACTGCTCTGTATCCGGGCAGGGGACACGGTAGACATAGCCCCGTTTGACGGGGCCACAGGGGACACTCCTCGGGTACACCGTGGGCTGACGCAAAGGTCAGACACACTTGATGAACTGCGCGCGGATTTGGTTGCGGTTTGCCACACGGCGACCTAGGTAAAAAATGGACTGAGTAAAACGGCAAGGGTAGGTTAGAGGCCATCGCTAGGAAGTTGGTGGCCATCGCCCAAGTTTGGAGGCCATCGCTAGTAGGTTATGCGCACAAACATAAAGCTGCACCAAGCAACAAGGTTGGAGGTCATCGCTAATGGGTTGGAGGCCATTGCATCAGGTTGGAGACCAGCGCTACTAGTTTACAAGACACAAACTCAAAACGCATCAAGCAACAAGGTTGGAGGTCATCATTAGCACGTTAAAGGCCATCGTACCAGGTTGGAGGCCAGCACTACCAGTTTACAAGACACAAGCTCAAAACACAGGTGGCAGGTACAGTGGAGTGGCCAACTCCACCATCCCATCTTGTTGCCTAGCTTTATTAGATCAGGTCAGCAGCAAGATGCCTGGTCCTCCTGCCGCCATACAGACCGTGCCGTAAGGTCCCCTATGACTCCAAGGGCTCCACACGCACGCCTCCCCCCATCCTGCCCGGAAAGGGGGTTATGCGAAGCACATGTGCGCGCAAAAGGAACAGATGAATGATGAGCGAGACAAGACAGCCAAAGGAGTGTATGTCGTTGTCGATGAAGGGAAACCAAGTGAAGAGGGACAACCAACAAACCTCATTGTAACAAACCTGGGCACCTGAACCTAGTTTGATGTAGAACGCGTGTGCGTGTATGTGCACAAGCTAAGGTCCGAAAGTTGACAAGTTGCCGAAGCCAGCGCAACAGCGAGTTCACATGACACACACACACCGTAACGTGGGATCTTGCTCAATATACAGTTTTTTGAGGCCAGAGATGCCAACAACGCGATCCTGGTGCACTGCGTCCAGGCAGTCGACCCAGTGTGCGTGGGAATTTTCAAGAGTTATCATTGACATGCAAGAGTTGCACAGCAATGAACATCATTTCACCGAACTCACTGGAACACCCTGTGTTCAAGAAACATGGACATGGATGGCACGGAGACATGGACGCGGATGAGACGACCCAACAACTCAACAGGGCCACAAAATGATCCCACGACCCTTTCAACGAGCTCTCACGACCCTTTCAGGCATGTTTTTTCGTAGCTCATTGAGTTGGACACGCATTCAATGAGAAATTCTGGGATAAGGGTTATAATATGGCAGTGGGTCCAAGCCTCAAGCCCTGTTCTCTTCCACCCAAAATGAACAGAATAGACTACCGAGCTCTCTAGGCTCAAGGCCGTGGGGCTGAAGGTGCACGAGACACCTAGGGCCACTGGCCTGATCTCGCGATCGGGGGGTGGTGTCCACTAAGTGGCCCTGCACCCGGGCCGCATCTCGGTCTGAGTGGCAATGAGTTCACATGTGGTATCGACAGGCCATGGTGACGAAGTTCTGAGTCGATTGATGTCAATGATCGCCAAAAAGATTGTGGACCCGTGGAAATCCAAGCTGTTGGATGTTGCTGGTGCTTTGGGAACACCTGGTTTCATGATCAGATTTTCCAATAAGTGCTTGCTTCAGGGTAGTGTTGTGTCGACTGAAGGTGATTTGGTGAGGCTGTGTCCGCACTTCTTCCAACCGGGTTTGGGATTTGTGGTGAAGCCGCATGCTCCATGGGATGTACATGTGCCGCTCCTTTCCACGAGAGCTCACAACATGTGTGTGGGTGATTCCGTCACCCTTTTTGGCAAGATTGAATCCGAGCATGAGAATGGTTTTCATTTTGAGGCGAACACGTGTATCGTCCCAGTGGCCGAGTGGGATTGGAGCATCCCGGTGAATTCCTTTCACCTTTTTGCTGGATCATTCAATGGTTGGTCTCAAGCCATGGAAGCCATCTTTCATGATGTTTCCTTTCCGCCATTGGGGCAACAAGTATGCGTTGACAGTGACCCAGTCACGATGAGTTTGTGGTCCCACCAGGTTGGTAAACCACATCATCTTGGCAAATCCCAACCAGCTCGCTCATGGAATCCGTGTGGACACATAGGGGTTTGCACCTCGGTAGGGGACACTTCCTTGATCCATCAGGTCGATTTTCGAATGAACTCGATTGGTACGGCATCGCCACCTTGCGTTTCTTGGAGCAAAGCAGGAAAGTCGAAGGGCCTCAACTCAGATGCTGGATATGCATTCATCGAAGCGCTGGTCATAGTCTTTGTTCTCCGCCCGAGCATTCAACTGTTCGAATGCGCTGATGAGATCATTCATCATCAGCACTTTGGGTTGGTCTCACACATGCTCAAATTAGGAGGATATAAGCGCATCTGGCAACAGAATCTTCAGTTTCATCGTCTGTCAGATAACCACAGGGATAGGTGGTTTTCGGCTTGGATCCGTGCAGATCACTCGTTCGATCCCAATCAGCGTGCATATGTACTCCAAGCTTCGTCAAGGGTTTCATGGCATGACTCCATTTATCGGTTTTATCTGCCTCAGGAATTTCGAGATGCACTTCACCTGACAAATGACCTGAAGACCATCTATGGTGCGCATCACCTTTTGCCTCCCTCGAAGAAGGCCAGATGCATGTCGGACCGTTCCCAGGAGCAAGTCCTCGCACAGAGAGCTGCCCCACTGCATGAACCGCTTCCGACCTTTTGTGCCATGTACGGTAAACAACATGAATTGGATCCTGACCATGTTGCCAATAAGGGTTTGTTTGCTTGCTTGGAGGAATACCAGGGTTCTTTCGCTTTCATCGATCCAGCTCGGATTGTAGCACTATTGGGAGGCACCAACCGCATTTCGCTGCCTTCGGACCCGTTCGAAGCGTTTCATGGATTGGGCAACGCAGTCTCGGTCCCGCAAGCCGCCACTGCCATTCTTGTAGGGCTCCAGGCAATCAATCGAATGTCCATCAATGTTGAGCATTTTGTTGAAGGGATTTGGAACAAGCGTCTCACTGTGCATAATGCTGTCATTGTGAAGGAAGATTGTTTCATTTCGATTGTTGATGCTAGGTTGTTTTGGGATAGGATCTCCTTCCAACCAGCGCCGGTGT